TTCTCTTGGCTAATTTACTTTTCAGTTTTTAAGCACATAAATATACATGTCACTACAATTATTTTGGGTGTTTCTTCATTATTAAAATGCTTATTTTATAACTTCCAATTTCCTGCAATGACTCAGCATGTTTGTAAAGAATATAATCGGGGCAAATTATGTACTTTCAAATAAGTGGCTTAATTTCTAGGTCCAGGTATCTAAAAAGAAATTTGCATGAAAAAGTTCTGCTTTTTTGATGAGAACATATAGTTCGGATTCTTTGTTCCAATCTTATTAACCTACGAAATTTTTTGCAACAAAATTTCAAAGATTAATTTCTTTTTTAATGTTTTGATCCATTACCTCTCTCATCTTCAATCATATTCTGTATTCTTCCGTTTATGTGAACAAATCCTAAGCTAACTAATGACTGTATAATTGAATTAGCACTTAGTTGTCCCTACCTAGACATACATTTCATGAAGGCTTTTATAAGTAATCTTTATCCTGAAAGGTCTGTATGTCTTGTTTTTTTTTTTTAGTACAACCCAAAAAAATCACAAAGAAGTTTGATAACAAAATTTTTTTATAAAAATAGGCAACTTTTTGAATTGGGGTTGCCAAATATAACTAAATATTTATACTGTACTTGTCAGAGTTCTCGGTCTCGGTTACCCCAACTTTCCATCCCCTGGACTAAATAAATTAGCCAAAGATTGAAGTATTGGAAAACACTATAAGAAGGCTGTGCCATCTTTCTTCATAGCTTTCTCTATGTGGATGTTTTTGTTTTGTTTGCATGGATGCTAGATATCATAAGTACTCCATATTATCTTTGTATGTCTGTTTATGTACCGTTCATCGTTTTCAATATAATAGTTATTAAATTTTTGAATAAGAGTGTGCTTCAGATAGATGTTTTCTTGTTTATTGGGTGTCTTGTTTATTGAGTGTATTGTTTATTAGGTTGCCGAGTAGCAGAAAACCTTTGTATAAGGATAAATCAAAAATGACATATTGTAACTAATATGACTTCTGTGTACAGCCAATCGCGCAATGCAATGAGGAAGTATTTCGGTATAGTAAACAACGTCCAGTGTCACCAGAGGCCAAAAATGAAGAAATCAATTTCACTACGTGCTAGATAACATTATCGATGATTTTCTCTTGCCGTCAGCCATTTATTGACGACTCGTTCTATTTTTTTTATCAACGTAAATATTACAAATAGTAAAAAACGTCCATCCTAGTAAATATGTTTAATTTCCTCTTTCTTGTTAGATCAAGTGTAAAATCAATATTACTAAACAAAAAAAAATAGCCTCGATATCCATACATTTGTTGTTTTTATGGGGTTTAACGCCATTTTTCAGCACAAGATAGGCTATACATGGCGGCCAGTATTAATGGTGGAGGGCGAACCCTGGAAGAACCACAGATCCACGAAAAGCTACTGGCAGGCTTTCTCACTTACCTACGTTAGCCGAACATGGACTCGAACTCACGCAGACAGAGGTGAGATGGCAGTGATCGGTAACATTCAGCGCTTTAGACTACTAGGCAACTCGGGGCCCCTCATACATTTGTAAAAAAAAAAAATAGCCTTGATATCCTTGCATTTACAAAATTAGTATCGATATCCATTCATTTTTATTTTAAAAAAAATAATTTTTAAAAATAGCCTCGATATCCATACATTTTTAAGAAAAGCATTTTACAACATTGAAAATATTTTTTAAAAAGTGTCTTAGAATCTAAATTAGATTTATATAATACAGCCATGTTCCTTTTCCACCCAAATTGTATGACATTAAGTCATTGTAAAAACACCAACCCGTTTGATGTATTAATTTAACATGTTCGTTCAAGATATGCTCAACCAAATACCTATCCCTTTCGTTTCATTCAAGATTTGCATATTTCTTTTCATCAAGTAGCAATAAAGAAGGTCGTTTGTCTTGTGCGGTATGCATGGAACGCCAAATATGTCCAGGTAAGCGGTATGGTGGGTGGAGGTGTAAAATGCCGCCCCCTTACCTATAAATATGTTTTGGTCAACTTCCGTTAAACTTAATATCTGACAAATACATGTTTCCCTCCCCCCCCCCGGAAAATAATTCTGCATGCACACCTACGACCCGGTTAGAGTGAATTTGGCTTCAACTGGGATATATACGGAACGCCAAGTATGTCCAGTTACGACCGAGTAAGGTGCATCAGTTACATGCTTTTGTTTGTTCTCGACCTAAGTATTGTACATGAATTGTCTACCTGGCATGCACATGAAAGTAATACTATTCTTACAAAAAAAAGTGTATTCAAGCGGAAGTTGCATGTATTTTCGTTGAATGTTTCATTGGTAACGGGTATTTTAACACGTTTCCTGAAAAGGTTCACTAGTTCTATCATCAGTGACTTCGACCTCTCTCTGCACATACATAAGAGGATTGCCCTGCATATACAAACACCAAAACCACACACACGGAGGTTCTGTTTTGTTGCAAGTCACGCGCATGTTTCGATATCATGTACAGACGGTTGTGATATTGTGGTTGTAATTTGGATTTCTAACGTAGCTTTAACAATTTTTCAGTCATATCGCTAAGATGTCTGCAGTGTGGCAGTTTATAGAGATATCTAACACTAGGACATCATGCCGCAGACATGTAGCATAATATCCCACCCAGTCACATTATCCTGACACTAAGCCGACCAATCCTAACACTAACCTCCTAAGGCTTAGCGCCAATCGAGGCATCTGTTAGTGCCATTTTTGTAAGTCTTTTGTATGACTCGGCCGGGGATCGAACCCACGACCTCCTGCATCTGAAGCGGACGCTCTATCCACTAGGCCACCGGAGTGGTTATGTACAGACGGACATAACGACAACACAATAATTTTCGGACTCGAGCTCTCGTACGTGCTCACACATGTGCACGTTTTGCTGATGCTAGCGTTCCGGCTTCCAGGGTAACAGTACTTGCGAGAATCACAACGATCATGGTGACTGAGGCACCTCAGCGCTACGCAGTTGCCATACAACGTGTGTTGCGGGTATGATACTTTTTAAAATGCACACGTGCACGCGTATTTCACAGTACTCACCAAGGTATGAGAGTCCACAAAGTTGGCGTTTTCCGACACACATTTGAAATTAATTTGAAATCGATTCATTCTAATCTTTATAAGATGATTCGGTTTTTGCGCGCGACCAATTAATTTATATGTGTCACAGTAAGCAACACGTGCATGACAAAACCATGAAAGAAACAAGTGTCAGATTAATAAAAGAATTGGCAACTCCTAAGGTAAATTAAAGAATGACCCATCCAACTGTCGAGCCATATATGTTGTGTCTATTCTTTCAAAATTGTTGAAACATATGCCAGCTTGCATGCTTTCAGATCTTCACAAGTACCAACTCATCCGTAAATCACAATCAGGTTTCTGACAGAAATGCTAATATCAAACTGCAATGAAGAAACTTTTGTTCAAGTTTATACTAAAGATCAAATCAGGCAAACTTACTGGCATTATTGTCATTGATCTTAAAAAAAATTTTCGATTTGGTTGACCAGACGGTGCTCATTACAAAAAAAAAAAAAAACTGTCAGCCTACCAATTTTCTTCAAAATCTGTAACATGGTTCAGGACACATTACACTGAGAGACCACTGGTTGTTTTTATTTTTAAATATACTTCAGATTCAAGTCATATTTGAAGCAGTGTTCTGAAGGATCTGTTTTAGGGCCCTTCTTTTATTATTGTTGATCAGTGACTTACATTGTACCCAGTGCACTCGAACTTTCGCTGAAGAATCTACACTGTATTCATCTAGCAGATCTTGAGACACCAATGAAAATAAACTTGAACCCGACCTCAGTAATATATCAGCTTGGTGTCAACAAAACAACATTATTATTATTATTATTATTATTATTATTATTATTATTATTATTATTATTATTATTATTATTATTATTATTATTATTATTATTATTATTATTTCCTCGAAAACGCAATTTATTTCAATAGGAACAAGGCAGCACTTATCTACAAGCATGGATTATATTCTAACTGAAAAATAGTTTAGACCTGTTTATTGTTAAAAAATTGTAAATACAACTTGGAATATATTATTCAATAACTTTGCTGGAATACATATTTGAATTGCATATGGGCAGTGGTAGTCAAAACAGTAACTCTCTTAAAATTACTATCAAAATTTCTATTTCTACCTCCCCAGTCACTTGAACTTTATTTTTTTTAAACATAAGCTATAATTGGCAGACTTTGGCTGTTCTATATGAGGAAACTCTTCAAATTATTATCTATTCAGAACTAACTCCAGAAAAAGACCGCTTGAATAATTCTGAAACTTTCTATTACGACACTCTCGCATGTTTTTCTTTTCATGTCTGTAATAAGTATATAAAGAAAAACGTATTCTTTATTTGAAAGGATTCATACGTCTCTAAACGATTTGTATCCAGGTTTTACGTTTGACCTAACTGAATTTAGATTAACAAATTCTCAAATTAACAGTTAACAACGAGCTCCATATTTCGAAAGCTCTTTTCTGTATTAGTACCTACATTTTAGAAACCCACCTCCCACCCCGAAATTCAAATTCCATTGTTTCGTTTAAAACTTCATTAAAGAAATTGTTTCTTGACCAGCTTTAATAATATCTTAAAGCCCTCAACTTGAGAAATTTATTAACGTGCCCTGAAATAATATATACAAGTTTGTTGGGTGTGTATATACAGCATCTGAATAGCGAAATGTGTATCTCTGAGTGAGTGTAATGTGGATTTTGAACGTGAGATTTTTCAGTCATATCGCTACAATATCTGCAGTGTGGCACTATGAATTTCCGTCTAGCACTGGGGGCATCATGCCACAGACACGTAGCATGACTCTATCCTGACAACAGACCGCCAGCTCCAACACTGACCTCTTCATGCTGAACGCCAAGCGAGGCAGCTGTCAGTACCATTTTTATAATTCTTTTTTATGACTCGGCCGGGGATCGAACCCACAACCTCCCACATCTGAGGCGGACGCTCTAACCACTGAGCCCATCTGAGGTTATTATTTTATTATATATTCATCCGTTGATCACTAGATGTATGTACACATCATATGCTTTCATTCTGAATCTGTACGAATACGTGTGCGAACATACTTGAGTGTTTGTAAGTATTATTAAAGTAGTAAAAACGTATAATATAACTCAATGTCGTATCCCATATATATATATATATATATATATATATATATATATATATATATATATATATATATATATATATATATATATATATATATATATATATATATATATATATATATATATGCTTGTGTGTATGTATGTATGTATGTATGTATGTATGTATGTATGTATGTATGTATGTATGTATGTATGTATGTATGTTTGAGCATAGAAAAGAAGCTTTGTATGTTTTAATAAAATAATTTATTTCTCTAGGAAACAATGTAAAAATTGGAAAATAGGACTTACAGTTTGTGAATATAATCAAAAATCTGATACTAAGAATGAAAACACAAGTGCTGTAACTAAATAGTTCTATTAGAATCCAGGTTCGAATCTCGACGACATACAAATATTGAAAGCGATGACGTCATATGTGGTCCAATGTACGAATATCAACAATTCCTCAATTGAATCACATTTTTTGTTTCCGATTATTTCCAGAATAAATTTCTATGTATATCTTTCAGAATTCTTTTTATATCAAAAGTTCAACTTCTTGAGTTTCCAGGAGAATAAATTATTAAATCCAAAAATCAAATGAAAAACAAACAATTTGTCACCAAATAAAACTACCACTTTCTACCTTCAAGATGTTAAAACGACTCTGTCAGAACAATATTAAGAATGCGAATTTAAACTAAAAAAAACCATCATTTCAAGTCTCGCGAGATTGGTCATGTGGTCTCTCACTACAAGAAATCCAGCAAGTACGCCGGGGTATCTCTACTTAAAAATCAATAATTAAATAGCGTTGTTAACACATGGTGATCACGCTAAGACAGTATGGCCCTGATACTGACCAATCATTTTAACTGCCTATTTAACCTGTTGCCAGCCCAAGACGAATTAGGGTATCTAAAATAATTATAATGGAACATTTCTACGTCTTAAATGAGCAACATTTGCTAAATTTGGCATTGAAGAATTTGAATCCTTTCAAAAATCATTCCAAAAAATGTAATGAAACAAAAAAAATAAATAAAAAAGTAACATTTTAAAACTTACACAAAAAACGCATTGTTTTCAGTTTGATGGATAATATCGATTAAGATGACCCTCGTCCAGGTCCTAAAATAGTATCTTATTTCTTTGTTATTAAGATTAATTGTATTAGAATTACTCAATCCCTATCTTAACACCAGTCCGAGTAGAATGAATTTAATTTATTTCAGTTAATATTTAAGAAGATATATTTATTCAAATTATTCACTAGAATTACAAATTGTTTATTGATTTAGGACTAGACACTAGTTTTGGGAATTATTTTGAATTAATTTAGAGACATTTTGGATTATATATTTGCGATACATTAAGACAGTTGGCACATTAGCACGTTCGAGACTACTGGCACATCAGTAAATTCAAGATTGGAATTCATTTTGGAACACCAATTGAAATTATTGGAAATACTGAATACTGTATTCTTTCGGACTTGTCATTAAACTTTTATGACTATATGGGATTTTATTCACAATACTGAAAGTTCATTTTAAATGTTCACTTTGTATTTCAGGGAAGCAAAAAATTTGATGAAATTTACAAAAGGTATTGGCTTTGCTTGTCTCTGTTACTTACTTCAAGACAAGAGAATTGTAACAAAGTAAAGACATTATTATTATTATTATTATTATTATTATTATTATTATTATTATTATTATTATTATTATTATTATTATTATTATTATTATTATTAATTTTTATTCGCACAACACACATGCGAGCAATAACACTGAGTCATATAAGACTGCAGGGGGCCCCGAGTGGCCGAGTGGTCTAAAGCGCTGTCCGTTACGGATCACTGCCATCTCACCTCTGTCTGACTGGGTTCGAGTCTAGGATTCAGCGAATGTGGATATGTGAGAAAGCTTGCCAGTAGTTTCTCGTGGGTCGGTAGTTCTTTCCGGTGATTTCCTGGTTTCTTCCTCCACCTTTAATACTGGCTGCCATGAATAGCCTATCGTGTGCTGAAAAATGGCGTTAAGCCCAACAACAACAACTGTAAGACTGCGGCGCAACGCAGAGGTGGCTAGGTCACTATGTCTGGGGTGATTTTCACAGGTATTGTGAATCCAGAAGTCGTAAGTTTGGCAACGGTGACACGTGCACGTATATTAGCACGAGCACAAACATAACTTTTATGGTTACTATGATATACGATGATCAAATTTCGCTCATTATCATTCGTAGGTGACTGCCGAATTTGAATAGTAAACATGAAAGACACTAACAAATTGTATATAGACATAACCTGTATGAAATAAGTATTGTTACCTGGAGTTATTTACTTCAATTTTCCTATTTGCAAACAGTTTGTGTCACCCCTGTATGATTTGTGAATGCACTTGTATGAAACTATAAAGTCAGTGATAAACTTGGCGGCCAGTATAACTGGTGGAGGATGAAATCGGAAAAACTCCAGAAGAACCACAGACCAACGTGAAGCTAGTGGCAAGCTTCTTACGTACCCACATTGGCCGACCCAAGACTTGAACTCAGAAAAGAGTCTAGCCTCATAAAAATATTTGTAGGACACACGGTACTTACTAATAGTATGGAAAAATGAGAACCAGCCAAGAAATGGGTGAACATTTATTAGAATATATATGGGTTTGGCTGGCCAGGATTGGTTAATAATGTAAGTTAAGTTTTAAGAAAAACGATCTTTTGAGAGCTTATCCTAGTTGTAAGTGAACAAAATATAGACAGTGTTTTAATTGATGGAATTCCAATCCTTTAACAGTCTTGAGTTTATAACAATCATTACTAAAATTAACACCTGACTCTTTGGAGCGGAATTGAAAGCACATATTTAAAGACATGCATGTCCAGAAAATGCTGCGTCTCATATCCTTTCCTCTACACAGAAGCTGACATCCAGCTTTCATCTCTACTGATAAATATAGGTTTGATCATGGGCACTCAAAAATTTTAAGTCATTGAATTTTTAATGGTATAGTGTTTGTATAAGGTTACTATGAGAACTGAATTAGTACCGTGAGTCCTGCAGGGTCCAGAGATTCTTATTTAGTGTATACAATGTTGGTAACTCGAGAAAGACTAAATTAGTCAACTCGGAACTAGAATGGACAAAATTAATGAGATTTTAATGACTTAAGTGCTAGCCATGATGTAATAGGTCTAAGCCAACATTACGGTCTGACCAGATACAATTAAATAACTGACTACATTTTATTGTAACATATGAAATAAAAACAGAAAATTTGAGGAATTATTTGAAAATGTCCCAAACAGATCTGATCGTAAGGAAAACTATGTAACACACCTTACTAAATTTGTCAAGACTACGAAACGGGTTTTCAGTTAGAGTATTCCTTGGAAGAACTGTCTGGAGATTACTGTATAGAAAAATTGGCGAGAGAACAAGTACCAGTAATTGATGCATGAAAAAAAAAAATTATTGGGAGGGATGTCCCGATGATATGTATCAGGGAACACTATTCCATTCAGTTGTTCTGAAGAGCGAATGAGCAAGAAAGAAAATGCCCAGTGAAAACGAAAGGAAGCTAACCATCATTTTATTCCATCAAGAATGCTCAACGATAAAAAATATGTTTTTGTTGTGTAGGAGAAAAAAGCGGGTAGATCTTACTAGAAAAATGCGAATAAAGATGATCGTGGAGGATGGTCTTTTCTTACACATCCTGTAACATTATACTAAATACAGTGGGCACGAAGGCCCACGTTTCCATGCATCAGTGAAGATGGAAAATTCATTACGTAATGGAATGCTTTGGGGCTTCAAATATCTATGCTTGTTAGACTCATACGGTACTAGTGTCGACTGTGATGCGTAACTCCGATTTGTCTTACTGCTATTATCAAATAACATGCCGATATTGTTGGAGACCATTTGGTGTTTAGAAACGTTAAATGAAGTTTGTCCCATAATTTGTTTGCCTTGTATCCAGATTCGTTTTATTTCATTCATTACCAGAGTGTGTGGAGTGTGTCTGTCTCATCATTTGCTCTATGTAGATAAATTTTTATATGCTTGAAAGATGAGAGAGAGAGAGAGAGAGAGAGAGAGAGAGAGAGAGAGAGAGAGAGAGAGAGAGAGAGAGAGAGAGAGAGAGAGAGATGCATTTATTTACAAAACAAATAGAGAGCATTTTTCTTTTCTTTCTTTATTTTTTCAATATAATGATGGATCGATCAAGAGAATGACGAAATTTAAAAAGCAAACATTCATGAGTTTGTTTTTCCTTTCGATCCATACATGAAGTTCAAGGTGATTGCAATCCAAGGGAATATGACCGAGCTGTTTCACATGAACACATACGCACATAATTCCTAATATAATCGATATACTCTGATTAATGATGACAATTTATTGTCCATAAATGGATGACCTCGAAATTGTTTTCGCTGCTCGCAGCCGGTTTAATCTTACTGCTGACTGTTTAGTTTGTTTACACTCATCTTGCACAAGTCTGACTTTGTAATCTATTTTTTTTAAAATAAGCAAATAATTATCTTTCGAATGCAAATTTACGACCCTGTAAGATTGTGAGATACCGAAGATAATTGGTTTCGTTATCTGGTACGCTAAATAAAATTAGAGCCATTCCAAATAGTACAATTAAGCATTGTACAATGCTTGTATCTTGAAATTTTATCTTGGCCTTAATCTAATGGTCACCAGCCAAGATATATATATATATATATATATATATATATATATATATATATATATATATATATATATATATATATATATATATATATATATATATATATCTTCAATCAGGCATATTACGATAACGCATTGTTAATCCATCGCATAA